CCCCAAAACCCCAAAACCCCAAAACCCCAAAACCCCAAAACCCCTGGTATTTTAATGTTGGTTGAATTACTACTTATTCTCGCTTAAAATGCGGGTTTATAGGCAGCCGATTGATTCTCTTAATGTTCAGATCAATAATAGACTCATCGTCATCGAGAATTATTATCTCATTGTCATCTTTCTTGTGCTTTGGGATAAACTGGAATACAGAGGATTCACTTTTGTTATCAACTAAGGCCCCATTCTGTGTGTTTTCTTCTTTATATACTGGAAATTGATTATCGCTTCTCCTAGAATACTTCCTGACCTTCTTCGGGCCTTTTCCATGACTTGCAGCACTGTTATCAACAATGATAAACTGGGAAAATAAATCAGAGCTTTGGAATGCATTGCCATAAGCAGTGTATATTTTCTGTTCCATGATTTCCTTAATGGTTTCAAATTCCTTCTCAATTTTGTTGGCAGTCTCGTCAATAGTGTAGTGAAAATGCTGTAATTGGTTGATTTCATTAAGCATCTTGTTTGCATTCCTAAGTTTGGTATCACTATCTTTTCCAGATTCAAATGTATGGGATTCTATTATCCCCATAAAGCTATTCTTGAGTGACTTCTGAGTTTCACTTGTGGAGCAAAGGAATTCTTCTTTTATAATTCCGAGACTAAATCATATATCACCTTATCCATAGACCTTAAAAAGTGTCTCAGTCTGGATTCGAAGTTGTTTTTGATAATCCTTGCTTCTTCGAGAAGTTTGTCATATACTATTGTGTGGTTAACAGTCAAGCTATCGATTTTGCTATCATATATTTTATTTGAAACTATTTATCTTATCAGCCATCTCTCTAAGAGATCTTTCTGGTTTCTGTAGCACGTAATAGTCATGAGAATCATGCTGGTTGATCTCCTTCATGTCAAACAGGAAGGTCTTGTTTGCTTCGTTACAAGTAGAACAGAAGTACTTTACTTCATTATGCTTATCTTTTACTAAATTTTCCATATTTATATTGAAACAATAACTAAAATTTACACAGGGGTTTTGGGGTTTTGGGGTTTTGGGGTTTTGGGG